TGGGAAGGAAACTTAACAAAAACTTAACCCCTGCTCACATGTAAGAAACGTACCCCTGTTCCCGTTAGTGTGTGTGTCCTAAGATTTAAAAGAACAGGATTGCTTTTCAGAGTCATCCAGGTGCCCTGCCGACCAGGGTATAAGCCCCATCCCATCCGAACCCAAGGCCGGGCCTGCCCTGTGCCTCTGGGAGGGAGCAGCAGCCCATCAGCCTGGTGTTCCCACACTCACCTGTGCCTTTGTTTCCCGCAGGACGTGGAGGGCGCCCTGAGCAGGTGAGTGCTGAAGGAAGGACGGGGGGAGTGGGGTGCGGAGCCGTGGGGTGCCCCCTGAGCAGCTCTGGCCTCTGCTCCCCCAGGAGCCAGGCTGTGCGGCTGGAGATGCCAGAGGCCCTGTCCTTGGAGGTTGAGACTGAGTGCGAGGTCCTAGAGGTTTGCTTTGAGCTAAAGAACAGGTTCAAGAGCCATCAAGGTAGGTTAGGGTGTTGCTAAGCGCCCAGGGGACCAAGCTCACTGCAACCTCGACCCCATGGGTAACAGGGATAAATGGGAGGGTTTCTACTTTATGGTCACAGCCGTGAGCTCCCCTCGCTGGTCTGAAACAAGGCTCAGACTCCAGAGCACAGGGTGGTCTTATCCAAATAAACTGTGTTGGGAGCAGATCCCGCCTCCAGCCGCCCCTTCCCCACCCTCCAAGGGGACATTCTTGAAACAAATGAATCTGCAGGATGCTGACAGCCAGCGCCCTGAATTCTACCCCTGAGGTTCTTCTAATCACCAGGACCCTGCGAGGATGAGCCCCCTCTGCCCGTATTCGTTTGGGATTTCTTGGACCATCTGTCAGAGCAGCCTGGCAGTTGTGAAACTGACATGGAGCAGTTTGCAGAGACCCTGAGCGGCCGGGTCACCACGGACGAGGCTTTGGAAGAACTTGTGGACCTCATCTATCAACAGGCCACGTCCGTGCCCAAGCTCCGCCGCGGGGGAGCTCGCCTGTGTGGTTACCTGTCCCGTCACCTGACCATTCCCTCACAGAGGGGCAGCTTCCGCCAAGTGCTCCTTCAAAGATGTCAGACTGATTATGAGCCTAGAGATCAAGCTGCCAAGGGGGATGAAGCAGGTCGGAAACGATTCCATGAGTTGGTGCTCTTTATGGGAGAATTTTATCTTCTGCTGGAGATCGAAGGGGCAAATGGACAGGCTCACACAGCTCTTTTTCGGGGGTTGTTGGATGCCCTCCTTTCTCACCCCGTGGACGATAACCTAATTTGTGCAGTAAAATTACTGAAGTTGACAGGGCCCGCCTTGGAAGATGCCTGGAAGAGACAAAGAAAGACGGACATGGACGACGTTATCCAGGGGATTGCAAAGGTCGCCCTGGAGGCGCCCTGCAGTGTAGGTGTGAAGCAGATGCTCTTGAAGCTTGTTGAGCTCCGGTTAGACAACTGGGGAAGAGTCCCTGTCACCTCAGCATCAAGAGAAGCAGCACCTGAGATTGATCCCAACTGTTTTGTGACGGAACCGCCATTGGGTCCAGCGGATGGTGTTCCTTTCCCTGCAGCTGATCCCGATGACCAGGATTCATCTCAGGAGTGACGTGAGGGCGGGAGAGGAGGGGGGAGGGGGAAGGACATATGTGATACTTTCAACAATAAAGATTCATTAAAACAAAAAAGAGTGAGTTGAAGAGAAGACTCATTTTCCAGATTGTGAAGAAAACGGAGCAGGTGTGTCCGGGGTGGTGACGGTACTTGGATGATATTGAGGATGAGGTGGACCCAGGAGCTTATGCAGAGTTTTGTTTGGAACCAGAGCGTCAGCAGCAGCCGTCGGGTTAAACGTCCCCGGGTCAGAGTGAGGAAGCCGTGCAGGTGATGGTGGGAACCGGACGCAGGAAACCTGCCACTTGTACCCGATGGAGGATGCAGTGGTGTTACTAATGTCCGCACCTCCAGTCGGGTGTGACACGCTCTGCCACAATAAACTCTATTCCCTAGAACTTAACAAATAAAATTAAAATTATATGGTGAAATAAACTGTGTTGCCCTGGCCGGTTTGGCTCAGTGGAGAGAGGGTCAGCCTGTGGATGAAGGTCCCAGGTTCCATTCCAAGGGCACGCCCCTCTACCAATCGATGTGTTTGTCTCTCTGTCTCCCCCCCTCCCTTCCACTCTCTAAAAGTCACTGGAAGCCCGGCCGGCATGACTCAGTGGTTGAGCATCGATCTATGAACCAGGAGGTTGGGGTTTGATTTCAGGTCAGGGCACACGCCCAGGTTGCGGCTCCATCCCCAGTGTGGGGCCCTGCAGGAGGCAGCGGATCCAAGATTCTCTCTCATCACTAATGTTTCTATCTCTCCCTCTCTCTTCCTCTCTGAAGTCAATAAAAAATATATTTTAAAAACTAAACAAGAAATTTATAAAAATTATAAAACTAAACAAACAGATAGGTACAAAAAACCCCAACACATAGCTTAGACATGTATACTTATGTGTGTGTGAATATACATATATACATTTATCTATGTGTGCATGTGTAGACATGTACATATATGTATATATATGTACAAAAATGTATAGAAATGTGAGAGCCCAGGCCTACCCTGACCCACGGGCACATTCAGCACTGGGATCAATTTCATACGCCTGATTTATTTAAGAAGCACTGTCTTAGGGCAATGGAAGATAATTGTGAGAGAGAATCATGGATCAGCTGCCTCCTGCATAAGTGAATCTCACAAGAACAGTGTAACTATGGTAACCACTACCTTGTTTACCTCTGACTATAAAATAAAGGCTCAGCTTGCCTCTGGATCTCTCTCTGTGGCCTCAGCCAGGCACAGGAAGATCCACAGAGAATAAAGAGCTGAATGCTGTCTCCGTGTCCTTCATTCTTTGCCAACTCTGTCCACACCTTTGGGAACCCCTGG